GATTTTTTGATTTATTCATAGAGACGCGGTCTCTTCTGGTTGTCCGGGCTGGTCTCAAATCCCTGAACTCAGAAAATCCTCTGACCTCTGCCTCCCAAAGTGCTGGGATTACAGGCGGGACCCACTGCACCCGGCCAATATCATGGTTTGTTTTATTTTGAGTAGAGTTCCAGTAGTGGGATTGATGGATCAAATGGTCCTTCTGTTTTTTTACTTCTTTGAGAAATCTCCATGCTAATTTGTTTTCTTTTTTCTTTGTCGTTTAGTTAGAGTCTCACTATTGCCCAAGATGGGTACAGTGGCACGCTCATGGCCACCACAGCCTGGACCTGCTGGGCTCAGGCGATCCTTCTCCTCCGCCTTCCAAGTAGCTGGGACTACAGGCGCCGGCCACCACACCCAACTAATTTTTTGTTTTTTTAGATTGCAGAGATGAGGTCTCGCCAAGTGCCCGGGCTGGTCTGGTACCCTTGGGCTCAGGCCGTCCTTTTGCCTTCTTCTCCCAAAATGCTGGGATGACAGTAGCGTGAGCCACCAGTCCGGGCCTCCGTGGGACTCATTTACGTTCCCGTCACCAGTGTGTAAACGTCCCCCTTTTTCTGCATCCTCACCAACACCTGTTCTTTTCTGTCTTTTTATACTGTTTTTAATATTCACCCAAGTTGCTGATCCAGGGATGGGCAGCTGAGGCCTGTGACTTACTTTTGTAAATCCTGTGAGCTAAGAATGTTTTTTACTTACCTTAGTAAAAGGATGTTTCGGCTGGGTGTGATGGTTCACGCCTGTAATCTGAGCACTTTGGGAGGCTGAGGAGGGAGGATGGCTTGTGCCCAGGAGTTCGAGGCCAGCCTGGGCAACGTAGCAAGGCCTTGTCTCTCCCAGCTGCTCCGGAGGCTGAGGCAGAAGGCTCGCCTGAGCCTCCGATGACGAGTCTGCGGTGAGCCATGATCTTGCCACTGTACTCGATTCCTGGGCAACAGTGAGACTCTAATTAAATGACAAAGAAGAAAGA